TCTAGCAACAGCTTGTAGACAGTCAGTTACTGGAATTTTCACTGGCCTCCAGCATGGTGTCAGAAAAGCCAACAGTCACGGAGTTTTTAAAAACATGTTTTCCTTACTTTTAAATAGATTCTGTTATATATTTCTCCAAAGTACAAATATTACAAAAAAGCTCACATTACTGCAATTTTAATCTAGTCCCATTAGTCTTTGATTTAAATTTTTTTATATAAAAACGTTTATATCCCACTTTTATAAACATCTGTTTTCTGATTTTGCACAGAGAACGCCGAACTGGCTAATATCAGTAAAGAATCAAAGCAACTAAAGAACAATAAAGCATTAATACCAATTAAAAGGGTATGCAGGTGAATGAACTAATTATTTTGTGGATTTGTATAACAATTCTATTACTTAAAAATTTAAATATTTGAGAAAACCTAATGCAGCTTTCCTGCACCCAGGCCTTCAGGGCGGCATTGGACTACAAGTCCCAGCATTCTCAGCTGGCATGGCAACTGCCCAGGAGGTCTGGGAATTCTGGGTGCAGAAATCTTAAAACAGTTGAAGACTACTAGATTGGGGAAAACAAACATACAAACATTCTCATAAAAGATGTTTGAAGGATGGGTTAGAAATAAACGATTTGTGCAGAGGTTCTCCACCTATTATGGATTGCACCATGGGGCTGGTTTTAATGTTGTTCTTGCTATACAGGCATGTAGGATGCATTAAAATCCAAGGAAACCCCAATTCAAAGTCTGGGTAGCCAAGGGACATGGGGAGGGGGGAACCAAACTGTTTTTCAGCCTGTTGAGCATCAGCGGTTCTGGTGATGGATGGCAGTGAAGAACACAGACCCTGAATAAGGCTAAACACCAGTAAATCTGCATCTCAGGAATGATTTGGAAAACTGGGAAATGAGAAGCAAACCAGGAAAGAAGCCTCCATCAACTTGGACCTTGGTGCCAATCTGGGTTCATGTTATGCATTAGATGATCTGTTTCTCCTCGTGGCTTCTCTTGAGGCCCTGAAGAGAAGACTTTCCTTCGCCAACTGAAAGTGCCTCCACACAGCTCCACGTGGCCCTTCCCCTCTAACAGGAACTAAAGTCAGTTTCTTCATCTGCAGCCCTTGGCATACATGCCCACTGGGTGTTGGTGTTGTTTTTTCTGATTTATGCCTTTTTTAAAAACAGCTTTGGAAATGAAGAATGCCACTTCTGCTGGGCAGCAGGCCAATCCTCCAACCATCTGGGAGACCCAAGTACAATCCTGGTATGATTCCTACGTATTGTGCCAAGAATAGCCTGTTAGCTCAGGGGGCACTGATTCCAGTATCCTGTTTCCAACGAGGACAGCAACATTTCCCTGAAGCCCATGAGCAGGGAGTGGAAATGACAGCCTCTCCTCCCAATTTTGCTTGAGGGGAGGAAGGGAGCCCCACACCAGCATTTGTGAGCTCTTCCCAGGCCAGTGGGGTGTTCTTGGGGGAAGGACCCCATGTCTGGGCATGGAGGGACAACAAATCACGGGTTCTGTTAGAAACAAAAGTTTTAAAGCCTTCTCTCCAAGGTGCCAAATTGATTGTCTAATATATATATATTGATTTACAGAAGTGTCACCTTGTGTGCAAAGTGGCATAACAATTAGCTAGGGATAATGTGGGGGGGGGGGAATACAAATTGGCACTTGGTAGTAGACCTTCTTAGAGGGACCAGCCATGTCCAGACAGATTTCAACTTTGGCCATTTTTGGACTGCTGTTCTTGCTCGACTGCCCATCTTCTCCCATTGCCTTCCCCAACTCCACTTGTGTTGAGGAACTGCAGTGTTGGACTACAGTTCCCACGGTGGGTGGGAATAATGGGGGCTGTAATTCCAACATGACCTGGAAAAAACTGCAAGTGTCTCTGAAAACACACCCAAGGATTTTATGGAAACCATTTTGGCATTATTTAAGAAAAATGGTTTACAGGATTACACACAACCCAGCCCAAAAGAGTTGATGTTTGCAGCAACAAGCTGTCTGCTGAAGATGAATGTCACTGCAGGACCAAAAAGCAATTTTATGCTTTACCAAGTTTAACCTTTCAGCTAACCACTTCCTGATGTCCTCCCCAATACGCTGTATGACTGCCACAAAATCTAAGGTTTGACACTGTTTACGCTATTTATTATGCTATTCTCCTCTAAGACAAAAGTGTTTCAGATTGCTTTAGTTCCAGCCACATGTCACTCTAAGACTCATCCGTTCTTCAGCATTGCAGACTTAGTGGGGTTCCCCAAACACAAAAACTTTATAGTGGGGTTCCAATGACTGTATTCTGTAAATTGGCTCCTTACAGATATGTATATTGGGGAATAGAATTCCCAACAGTCATGGTGGCTGGGAATTCTGGGAGTATTCTGGGAGGTTCAATATCTCGGGGGTGGGGGGAGGGGGAGAGCTACCTATTTCAGTAAATTTGCAATGAATGACTTTTAATTATTTTACTCGTTTACAACTTGCTGCCTCAAAATTCCTTCCATTTTTCCCCCGCTGTTTCTTCATCTTGGAAACTGACTTATCGAATAGTGAAGATGATTTATTCGTTAGTTTATTGAATAAGTCTCCAGACCATTTCAAATATGCTATCAAGTGGACTGGAGACTTATTCAATAAACGATCAGTTTCAAAAGTTCCCAGTTTGTCTCTGAAACTGGGAACATTTGAAACTGATAGAAGAGAGAAAAGGCCTTCTCCAAGCCGTTTTCTTGAAGGTTTGGTGTGATGTGGAGCAGCCAGGTTGTTTCAATTGTTTAGCAACACCTGATTGTTTCAAGATTGGATGCAGAAATTCTTGGCAATGATGATCTCTTTTTTGGCAGCAGACCAGGGGTGGAATGATGATGGCCAAGGGACAGATTTCTAGTTATTTGATATAGCAGGCTTTATGGATGAGAAGAAATCTGCCATAGAAGCAAAGTTCTGAATGTTGGCTTTGTTGTGATTCCACCTTCAAAATCTGGGCAGAAAAATGGGCATTGGGTGAAGATCAGTAGATCCAAACTGACACGCTGTGAGGCCCTGGACTTGTAGGACGGCTCCACTCCGGTGTGTGGGTTGAGGATAAGAACAGTGGGCTGGTGGGATTTTATGTGAGCCAAAATTCTGCTTTTGGAGACATAGGATAAAATTAAAATTGCAGCAAATGTAGTTCTGTAGGGGGACTCGAAACAGAGTTCATTGTAGTGGAAGTAAACCTAGTGACATCTACGGGACAAAGAGCTGTAACTAACCTAGGTCCTGTTGAACTCTGTTCAAGCAGGACTGAAAATGCTACCAGACCAGTAGCATTTAATGATACCAACTGCCACTGCAGGGAGACAGAGAGGGAGAGAGCGCGAACGGATGCTCTCTTTAGGGTGCAGTGAGCGTGGAGCTTAACCTGCCCACCCAGAACCGCAATCTTGTCCAAATGCACAGTTGCCAGTTCGTCTGCAGAGATGAAACGCGTCCTGCACCGTGTGCCCTTAACGGCTGCCTGATTTGTGGGTGCCAGCCTAGCCCTTGCTATCGCTGGCCGATGAACTTGCCCTGCTTCTGCAGAAACAGTTGGAAAAGCTGCCACGCAATCCGGACAGTGGCTTTTTCCCAAAGGAGAAAACCAAAGTGCTTTCGTTAAAAAGGTTAACCCACAACAAACGCCGCACAGACCCAGAGTGGGTCCCTCCAGATTCCAGACGAAAGTTTGCTGGCTCAGCTTGAGCGAGATGATTTCAGACAATGAAAAAAGGGTTTTGACGTTTGCACATCTGAGAAACCCTGGGGCCCCTGCTTCTCCTTGTACAGGGTTACAACCTTGGTCACAATCTGCCATCAGTATACAGAATTTTGGAGGGAGAAACATACCTTTCCCAAAAGATGGGTGACCCTAACCTTAAATGCCAAGGACAGATGGGCAAACAGGAAAACGTCTACGTGGGATTCAAAGCAAGTGCTCATTTGGGCTAAAACAATTTCTTTTTTCTTTGGGAAAATATCTCCTGTAGCTTTCTGTTGCTTCTGTAATCTGCAAGCCAGTTCCTATGAAGAGAAGAACTCAATCCTCTTTCCAGGAGATCACTGCTAAAGTCCGTCCTTCTTCCTGGGTGAGATCACCTTAGATCCATGGAGCTCCAGGCTTAATGGATACATACAGTATGTCCACATAGAGCCGTATGGTCTCCAGGGATCAGCCTCCCAACCTGAACCTATCGCTTTGCTTCTTCATCTCCTGACACTGGATTCTACACAAGGGCTGTAGAGTCTTTTATATGAAGGAACATCCTGTGCTTATGCAAAGATGGTCTTAGATAAATGCCCATTTGCCACTCCAGTTCAATGCCAGAAGAGCCAAGACACCCTTACTAGTAACACAGATTGTCCTAAGAGGACGTCCATATTCAAAGGATGATTTACAAGTCACCTTGAAATATGGAGCTACATAAACAGTCCTGTTTTTCCCCTTCCAGCTACCTCTCTTGAAACAATTACAGTGGGAGATCAAGCAAGTCCTGCAATGGAATTCCCCCAAATTAAAGAAGTCAGAGAGACTCCAAGATGCATCTTTCAGGACTCAAAGAGATCAGTATTTCCAATAGGCTCCCTCAACTGGAGCCAGAAATGAGGAATTATTCTTCCCTTTGAGATACATTTAATATGCAAAAAAAAAAAAAATCAAACAATTCACAACCCAATGGAACTGGAAGAAAGAAAACCCATAATGCCTAATGACATGTTCACGGACAGATTTCAGGGGATCAGGAAGGAAAGGTTGAACTTGCTAGTGAAAACTTCTCAGAAAATGATTCAGAACCCACCCATTCAACTATTGTCCTTCTGTCTCCATGAGTAGATACTAATCTACTTCTGAGAATTTGGCGGCTTCACAATGAACTTCTAATGGAGTTTCCAGTGGATTTAAACTCATTGTCAGCAAAATAACTAAGTATGGCTACAGAATCCATTTTGGTGGGAAGGAGAGAGGGATTGGTCCAACACAATCTATTAAAATGTTATCACAGTCATCTATGCATAATCTACTAATGTGCCAACTAGAAAAAAGTCACAGCAGGGAAATAAATGAGAGAACAATTAGAATGTCTTCGGTAGGAAAAAGGCAAAGCAAACTCAAAATCAACTTGAAAGCCACGTATTTGATCAGGATTGTCTTTAGTTTACCAACAGGATGATTTTCTGCTATCACTGAAGAGGCTAAGTTCCTCTTTCAAAAGATCTCGGCTCAGACAGGGATCAGAAAACGCTGCTGGTGACAGAGTTTACAACGTAGCTTTAGATGTATGCCTCTGTGGCTGGAGAACCTGGGAGGAGCTCTCCATTCATGACCATCTCTGAAACCAACATCTTGTCTTTCCCCGAATCCAGTCGTTTCTTCTTGAGCTGACACTGATGGATGAAGGGAACAAATGCAAGAATGAGGCCTCCAATTATTGGAGGAACTCCAGCAAAGTAGAAGGCAAGCTGGTAATTCCCAAAATGGTCACGGAGAAGTCCTAAAAAAGAAGAAGAAAAGCATAGAACATATAATAACAAGTGAAAGTCATCTGGGGGCTGTCTGCCCTTAGTTTATAGGATCTTAGCAACACTACCTTTTTTTATGCCCAAGAATAAAGAGACAGAGGGAGAAGAAAGAGAATTCTGGACTCAGATAACTATGTCTGGATTTAAACTTTGAACTGATAACCTGAGAAACCAGGATTCTGTCTACATGTCAGCTCTCAGCCCCAAGAACCAAGCTAAAAGGATGTCAGCCAGATAAAAAAAGAACCTTTTGACCTTAATTTGTCAGAGCAGCTCTTTCCACCCTTTTGATTTCTGACCTGTGCTGTTGGACTACAACAATCCTCATGATCAGACAACACATCCACTGGCTAAGCTGGCTGATGGATGAAAACTGTAGTCCCACACATAGGAAAGGCTGAGCTAAAATGTATCAAGCAGCATTTCATGATCCCTCAAAGAGCTGTTTTCTGGTCTTCACAGCTAAATGGCTCTGCTCTTAAGACTTCCCCATTCTTCTTGTAAGGGCTGAAGATGCAAGATGGGAACTAAGTCCAGACATAACTGATGTCAACCTTTAAGGCTATGAAAAGAACAGCTAAAAATCCATTGATTCAGAAAGGTGGAAGAAAGAAGCCTAGGATTTAAATCCTGGATCTAACACACATATACATAGAGGGCTTGATTTCTATGTTCTACAATAGGTTGTTATGACTTCTATTAATTTACAATAAAAGCTACTTATCTAGCCAGGCTGTGTCTTTGAAGCTTCTACAGTTAGTCCCTGATTGAGAGGTCATGTTTCTGGAGAAAGGAGAATTATTGCTGGTTCTGATATAAAGTCTGATGGATGGTGACAACTGGTTGCCGTTAGTTCCTTAACTCTGAGCCCTTTGCAAAGCACTGCTCTCATTTTAATAGGAGGCAGCCTGAACTAAATGAAATTTCTGTTATTATTTATAGCATCGAGCTGTAAAATTTGCCTTTGAGCCTTGAATTCAAATGGAAAGCCTTTCAGTTTTGCTTTTAATGGGTTTTAATAAAAATTACTTGCTAAATGTTACTTATTCCAAATTCAGATGACTGGGTTGGTGGGGGGCGGCACTCTTGTTTTTAAAAGGCACAAATGTGTTCCCAGAAGAAGGAGTAAAATTGGCCAAGGTCTTGCCATCAGGAACAGCTGCACCGTTTCTTGTGCAAATCTTTAGATCTTTTTAATCTGGGAAAATGGGCTTTATTGAGGAACATTTGGTTATTTCCTAAGCGGGATAATAATCAGGGGCTGCTGATAGTTGCCAAATTAAAAAGTATGTTTTCAAACACTGTTATAATTCAGCCAGCCTTGACAAATGGCCAACATATATTACTTATTATTGCTTATGAACCCCACTACACTGTTTTAGAGATTTTTCTTATACAAGCTGAAGCACAAATAATTTGATGGAGGTTAGTGTTAGCCTGAAAGATGAAGATTTAGTTAACAAATACTTTTGTTAGCTAGTGAGATGATGCATTTTAACCCCTCCTTTAGACATTTTGCTAACAATATAAAAACTAGTAATCACATGAGGATTTTTGAGAATTCAAAAGGAATTTACAAACATTATCTAAATCAGATATGTACAATCTGCAGACCCAGCTGCAGACAACTCCAAAATGTTTTGGGTGCCACTCCCTGAGACTTTGAACAGTTGAAATGTTTAATGGAAGAGAAGGAAAACTTTGATAATAACTAATTTAAATTAAATACAAATGAAAATGCAATTGAATTAAGTTTTCTTCTGGCCTCTCCTACCATTTTTTTCAAGTACAGCCCCCCATGAAAGATCACTGGGGAAAGAAAGAAAGAAAGAATGAATTTCAAAGCGAAAAGGAGCACCCAGACCCCATCACCCTCTTCTTCTTGCAAGTAAGAGTCTGCAAAGTGGGTCTGTCAGCCCATAGCATGTCGTCAGTCTCCTCCAGTATGGAGAAATCCCTGAGAACAAACCTGATATATCTGGAGGAGGGGGATTTAGAAGAGAGTATTTCGGTATTAGCTCAATTTGGATATCACACTAGACTGTGGCTGAGGAAATCTGCCTACGACTGACAGGGCAGCTGGAGTGACAGTTAGCTAGCAAATTAATATCAGAAATTACAGTATGCTGACAACCACGGTTTGCATAGTGATAATCCAAATAAACCAACCACGGTTATTGTTTGGCTTTCAGGAGCCATCCTATCCAGACAGATGGAAACCTGAAATAGATAAGCCACAGTACACTATGGTTTATTCATCTAATACATATTTGGCTGTTTAAACTGTGGTTTAGGACATTAATTATAATTCGTGCAATGATAGTTGAGCTACTGATTCCTGGCCAAGTCAAGGAACATATAAATCCTGGGTTAAAGGTGAGGGCCTACTATGAGGTTGTCCCTCCCCTACCAACTGTTCATACCTCACCTGGATAAGGACGTATTAGACACATTGGAAACAGCTAACTGAAGTCCTCCTCCTAGAGTTATCAAGCTGGACAATTCTCTCACCTGCAATTGGGGGGCCAGCTGACATTGGAATGGCCATGAGTCCCAGGAGATAGCCAATGGCTTGAGAAGCCTCCATGGGCCCAACCAGCTCAAAGGCAATGGGGGCCATTAGGGTGATGAAGAGTCCATCACAAAGTCCAAGGAAGAGGCAGACGACAATCACCCCCCAGAATGCTTGGCACTGTAGCAACATCATGCACATGATCCCCAAGATGATGAAGGACGCGACCTGAGGAGGCAAAACAGTGATGTTGTTCATCAACAAAAACATACGTGGAGTAATTCCCTAAACGAGGGGACTGAGAGGATTAATGAATAGCACACTTTATAAGTAATTTCTCTCTCTCTGTCACTCTCACTTTCTCACTCACGCAATTACCCAAACTCACAAGATTTCTGACATCTCGTCCCTGAGATCTCATGGGAAAATGCAAGACTTTTTCATTCTTGCCTGAAAATGCGTGTGATTTTGGTGCTATCTCACCACAGTTTTGCAGCTTCACGTGAAATCGCTGACACTGCACCAAGTTTCATCCATACTCATTTTTAAATTGAACACTGACATTGCAGAACGTTGACATTCTGCAAGTGCTACTTCAGGTTAATGCAGGAATCTTAGCATCTATGAGCAACGACTTCCCAGTCTCTGGTTAACGAGGATGAACGTCCTGGGTTGTATTTGCCGCCTATGTTCACAGGGCAGGATCCACTTTCCAGACACCCTAGTCCAGTGTTTCTCAACCTTGTCAGCTTTAAGATGTGTGGACTTCAACTCCCAGAATTCCCCAGCCGGCATGCTGAGGTAGGTTGAGTGGACAGGCAGTACAGTGGTACCTCAGGTTACGAACGCCTCTGTTAACGAACTTTCCGGTTTAGGCCCACCTCCAGCCGCAAAAATTTACCTCGGTTTGCGAACTCCGCCTCGGGGTACGAACAGGATACGCGGCCATTTTCCCTCCCGTGACACGGTCCGCAGCCATTTTTCCGCCCCTGACATGTGGTCCGCGGCCATTTTTCCGCCCCTGACACGTGGTTGTAGGGAGGGGGACTCTCCCTCCAAGCAATAGCCGCCACGCCAGAACAGATTAACAGTAATTACATTGAACCTTATGGGGAAATTTCCTTCGGGTTGCGACCAATTTGGGTTGCGACCAGTCACAGAACGAATTAAGTTCATAAACCGAGGTTCCACTGTAACTGCTCAAATCACCCAGGGAGCTCCATAGTGACTCTAGGCTACGTCCAGCATCTTCATCACCCCACTGCGTTTGAAGTCCACACATCTTGGACTTGAAGTTCCCAAGGTTGAGAAACACTGGTCTAGTCAATCTAATGAGGCTCATCTCAGCTTTCTGGCTGCAGTGTGAACCCTTATGTGCACATGCACCATATAATAGGGCTGTCAACGTGTTTCAAATGCAATCTCCAACAAGGGCTTTGGAGTGCAGACTTAATAGTGTCTGCGGCACCTAAAAACAACCTTGCTTTTTCCCAGGGTTGCACCGCTGGCCTCTGCAGATTCTGTATGTTCCACTGCAAAGAAGGCATCGCAGAGAGATGCTACATTGTGTTCCCATGGACACTGAGGCACCTTTGGACAATTAAATGCCAAGGGAGGCACAGCCCTAGCGCAAAACTTGAAAGAAGCCACATGGGCAAGGTTCTGCTCCATGAAAAATAGAATCAGATGATTACTGTCCTTCCACGACTGGGACCTTAGATACACTTTTCTCCCCAAGGCCTTATGTGGACAATGGAGAATGTCTCAACACGCAGATGGAACATTCCAGAGGAAGGGCAAAGTAGTAAATAAATGTGAATTTGGACTAAGCACTCATCTCCTACCTGCAAATAAATCTTCTTCAGTCCAGGGATGAGATCACCAATTGGTCCTGAGGCCAGGCGCCCAACTCCTGACATGGCTCCCAAGCACACCAGCACAACCCATGCTTTTTCCTTTTCTTTGAACTCCACTTCTACAAACTTCACCTGAAAAGCGGAAAATCAGCATCAGTCTTGTGTTCGTTCCAACAGCTTTCAGGATTGCCGATGGAAATGGGTGGAGAATCAGATCCCACATGTCGCCTGGTAAAAAGAGACACCTGCAGACTCTTCTGGGTTGGGGAGACAGTGTAGCCCCCCAGAAGTAAGAAAGGCATAAAAAGGGGAGGATAACCCATGATTTGTGGTCTCCCTTGGTATATTTTTGAGGGGTATGGAGTAGGAGTTTTAGGCATTCATTGCACTCCGTAAAGGCCCCCAAAGCTAGCCCAAATTTTCTTGGGAGGTTTTTTGGGAGGGGAAGGTTAATGGGTAAAATGGGTGTTTTCAGCCTCTGCAAAACTTAAGGCATCTTTTCGCTTCTAAAATCTCTACCACCCGAACATGCATTTAAAATTTCAGCCCTGCCCACCCCAGTGACATCTTAAGATCACCGCCCACGTCCCCTGTGGCATTTCAGAAAGCCCCCCCAAAACAACAAGGACCCTCTACCATAATGGCAGAAAGTGCTCAGCCATCCGCACCGTCAGGAAGTATCACTACCGTAACTCTGACGTTTCATGATGGCCACCCTGACTTCCAAAGCAGAAGGTCATCAGCCAGTCAGACTAGCTTCAGCACAAGGGACGTCTCGTTCTCACTGACAGCACTCCCACAGTGCTGCTTCGTGAAAGACCAACCCCGTCACTTTGGGACCCTCTGTCTGAAGAGGGAATGGCCTTGGAGGACAGGAAGAGCCGCTACCAAGACAATGGTCAGATAAGAGAGGCCTGAGCCCGGGCTAAGAAACTAACGTGAGAAAACGTCTCAGATGAGCCCCTCCATAGTTCATCTGAAGATAAAGGGAGAGAGGGGGGAAGCATATTCAGACTTGCAAGATTCCGTTACTACAGCTTTACAATAAAATAAAAAGTAGTCCTGACCTATTTGGCATTGGTCCCTTAGTATGATCGACCTTGCAGGACTGACGCTGTCCCCTCCTCTTCCACAAAACAAGGAGCAACCCACATCCCCCCTTCCCCTCTCCATCTCACCGCATCCTCACCAGATGCATGTAAGGGACAAAGTATCCCAGGATTGCAGTTGCTATTCCAAAAGCCCAAACCCGGTAAGTCTTTCTCCTGAAGACTCGCAAGTTGAAATATTTCCGCATCTGCGAAACGCACTGCTGCGTCCAGCTCCGGCTGTCTGGATGGACCTCCTTCCTATTGCGACAATCCGAAGCGGATGGAAACATGGGGCGGAAGGTCAGGGACAAGAAGATCTGGACCAGCATAAAGGCGCTCAGCATCCGGAAAGTGTGAGCAAGCCCCAGGGCCCGCCCAACCACCTTCAGGAGGAACGGGAGGCCCACGGAGAAGAGGCAGCTGCCGGTTGTCACCAGCCCGTTGGCCAAGCCGAGTCGCCGCTTGAAGTAGTGCCCCAGAATGACCAGGGAGGGATGGAAGGCGAAGGAGCTGCCACATCCGAAGAGGATCCCGTAGGTGAAGTAGCGGACTTCCAGGGACCTATGGAAAACGTAATTCCACAACAGATGTTGGCAAGGAATTCCAGCGTGGTTTATGGCCTCTTTCCCCCAAGAGTTACAAAACTGGTGCAACGGAAGACCCAGGTGCAGCTTGGTTGCCGGCTGCGAGCCGTGCTATGCCGGGCACTGGGAAACAAGAAGGGATCTCTTATTGGGTGGTGTGTAGAAGTGTGGAATTGGGTGGGACCATGACGGCAACGGGTATTGTTTTGGGTTTCTGGCTGTCTTCTCTCTTGTGCTTTTAAAATGCTTTTTAAAATGGGCACTGTTTGGCTGATGCACGGTTTAAGTTGCTTTTCTTAAAATATACATACATACATAAGTAAGTTGCAGTGACTGCCCAACGCTAGGAGACGTCTTTGGCAATTTTAAATGCCTCCTGTGGTGACACTGGTCTCATCCCCCACATGTCTAGGGGTAGGCAATATTTTCATGCTGGTGGCCACTGTGATCTCCAAATGTCTCCTGGAAACCTTGCTTCAAAAACTGGGGAGGGCCAGGACAAAAACCTAACTGCGCTTTTGGCCAAATCTACAAGGGCTCTTCTGATGCTCTTAGAATTAAGCCAAGTAGTTTGGCTTTTCCTTTTAACCCATACGGGCAATCCTTGTTATTCGCGGGTTCCATATTTGCCAATTTGCTTGTATTTGTAACTCCAAAATCCGTACTTGTGGGGCTGTTGTGCTTACTGGAACAGCAAAACATTGGAACTGCCGGTTGCACACATTCCCAGCTAAGGTTTCAGCATTTGCTAACTTGGTATTCGTGGCATTTTCGGAGAATGTAACTACCACAAATAACCAGAATTGCCTGTATATCCTTTCAAGTTGTGCCCAGTGTGGCGGGGATGAGAATAAGTGCACGGTTCCCAGCATGTGGCCTTTAAGCCTGGCCTTGTGTTGGTGGGGAGGAGGAGTCCCAAAGGATGCTGCCTACCCAAGGTGCACGTAGGGCAGGGGGGACGCCTCCCGCCCATTTAGAGAAACTTAACTTTCTGGTGGCTCATAAATCATGAGTCGGGCAGCCTTGTATATGTCTTAAATAAATAAAACACACCAATTAAAAGGCCTGAAAAAGGTTCTGCACGAATCGCGGGGAAATAAGAATTCTAAACAGCTGCAGATCCCTCTTTTCTTTAGGAGGATGTCCTCGCTTGTCAGCGAAAAAAGACAAAGATCACCTAAAGCTTGAGAATTCACAAGGTCACTAATAAATCTGGGCGGGCAGAGCTAGGCTTAGGCGGACCGACATCCAACTTTCTATCAGGTCGCTTCAAATGTTCAAAGAGGTTCAGGGTAGTTGCTCTTCTCAGGAAGGAGATGAACTCTCTTCTTTGAGAAACATGTGACAAAAGTTTGATTCTGCCCGTGAGCAGCAGAAAGGCTGTGGAATAGGTAATTTTTAATTCTTTTCACCACTAGATTAAGGCTGGGGTGTCCACACGGTATGGTCAAAAAAGTCAAAATGGCAGCCCCAACAGAGTGAGTGAAGCTCTGTTCGTTTTTTTTATGGGTGTTGCACATACAGTTAGTCCTCATTTAGTGACCACAATTGGAACCGACAACTCTGTTGCTAAGCGAAGTGGTTGCTAAGTGGGAAATCATGTAACCACGACTGTGCTTTCCTTTTCCCCACTCCCCCACCCTTTGGAACACTCACCCCGGCGCTGGGATAATTAGCAAGAAGGGAATTAATGTTTGTGCTTACATTCATTAGAGAGGAAGGGATTACAAGAGAGTAAGTAGGCACACAATAGGGAATACACATCAAAAGCAGTGTGGAGGTGCTGGCAGCCCTGAGCATGCTCCACAAACAGCCAGTGTATTCCCCACTGTGTGCCTGCTTCCTCCTCTCTTGTAATCCCTTCCTCTTCAATCTCTCTGCTCTGCAAGGGGGGGAAAAAAGAAAAACACAGGTCAGGCACAGGACAACACATACTAACTGTAATGGTGATCACATGGCTGAGGGACACAGCGAAGGTCATAAATGCAGGCATTGGTCATAAAGTTATTTTTTCAGCACCATCATAACTTCAAATGGTCGCTGAATGAGGCAGTTGGTAAGCAAGGACTATCTGTACGTTGTACATAAAAAACAAGCAGCGCTTTGATCACACTGTCGTGGCTCTCATCTTGACTCTTCTGACCCACTCTGGCAAGGTGCCTCTGCTCAGAAAGAGCCTGAATTATGCCACGGGGAATTTGAATTTAAAAGAGCACCTCCTGGTGATTTAAAACGCTTTGATTAATATCACCCATCAGGCCTGGTAGCCACGGACAGTGAGAAGGAGGGAGCAAGAGGGAAAAGGCGTAGCTCGGTTCAGATGATGTGCCAGACGGGGTTAAAATGGGATGGGGTGGTTCAACTTGTGTAAAACAGCTACTGTCTTACTATGTTGTGTGAATGTGGTATCAGGTTATGTCACAATATGGTTTACTTTGGCACAACATGTCCATGAATAGAGCAATGGTGGCCTGTTAACCTGGGTTGGTGGGAATCCCATATGACAGTCTTTTTTAGGAAGTTCAGCAGAGGAATAAATTGCAGGTAGTCCTCACTTACCGACTAGGACTCGGGAAACTTCCAGAGTTCCCCAACCCAGCGCCCCTAATAGACTCATGAGGAGGTTGTCGGGTTGGGAAAGAGGATCTTAAAAATCCACAAAAGGGACACCACTGAGTGTGTCATTCTTGATGTCAGAAACTCGTGGGATTCTCTCCATGCTATTAAGACCCTCCTCTGGCAAAGCTGTCTCTGTTTTCTTAAGCCCTCTTCAACCTCACCGAATTCAGCGGGACAATTGCTAAAAACAGCGAACGGCTCCCTCCCGCCCAAGTGCGTTGGATTTAAATAGAATCTGAAATTAATACCAAACAACTGTTATGATGTGTTTGCATAATCCCTCAACTGCAAATAATTTGAACCGAGTTGTTGACTCTAAAAGTTAACGTAATGAGGGATGTTGCACAAATGTTGCACGTTTTTTAAAGCAGGAGCACAGCATTATTAATATTTATTTTCAGATGTTTCCAGGAAATTCTTCACTTCACTACCTAGCCTATAATTTGAATTTTGGTATTAAGTCCGAATAGTTTTAACTGGGCTGCTTAAGGGAAACTGTGGAAAATCTAATGTACAAAGACAAAACTAGAGATATTTCAAAGGGCTAAAAATAAACAAGAGAGGAACCCAATGTTTTGACCAGAGCTGCACACTGCAAAGCAGAAAACAACCACTTTAATGTGAGATAAATGTATTCTTCTCCAAAACACTTGCTTAACATCCTCATGTTTAGAACATAAAGCCAAACCATGTCAACACATTCATTTTTCATTCATTTTCATTGACCAGAAAGCACGAATGTCCTCTACTTTCTAAAAAAATAATGCATTTTATTAATGGTATCAGTTTGGAACAGCACTTATTTTAAAAACGAAAAGAACATTTGGGACAGGCAAACGTCTGCCATGAGCCAGAGAATCAAGTTTGCTTCAGCCAAACTTGCAGGTCGTCCAATATCTCCCCAACGTCCTTTGCAAGGATAAAGACTTCTAGCCAGACCCAAAAAGAGCTTTCTCAGCCTTGGCCAGCCAGCTGTGTTGGACTGGAGCTCCTGCCCTCCAGGGCTACCACAGCTGGCCTACAAAAATGCAGATGGCCCCTTGCGAAGAAGGGAGACCTGGTCCTGGGAAGGGGGAAGGCATGAGGAGACTGCAAGGGGAGGGGGGACTCGGATGGGGCCGAGAGGAACTGGTTGGGATTCTGTTATCCTGCCACGCACTGACAGGCAGCGTTCCTGCAATCCTTGCACTGCCGGTTTCTTGACCTGGCTCACCTTGAAGGGCTGACACCACTAAAGGACAGCAAAGGGAGGAAGGAAGGGGAAGGGGAGAAAAGAGGCGGGCAGGGGCAGTGAAAACCTAACTTAGACTTGATTTAATTCAATTTTAATAAATTAAATACAGTTTACCTGGTTGCTTTGAGCGTGAAACTGAGCAAACTCAGGGAGGCAGTG